CGCACTGTAGCAGTGCACCACCAGGCCGGCCCCTGGGTTAACTCTTTCAATCACCATTATAAAGACGGTACCATTACTTTCTCCATTTATAGGAGATAAAACTGAGTAGAGCCTTAAAAGCATATGGACACATGTTCCTGAAAAAAATTAAAATGTTATGGTAAAACTAACATCCTGTTTAGGCACAACTCACATTGGTCTTCTCACCACTACCCAGTGATATATTCTCCGAGGCTGAGATTTTCACTGAGTGTTGGGCATTGTTTGGAGTCTCTGACGTGCAACACCTCGTTGGACTCTCAGGACCCTGTGAGTCAGGTCTTTTATTTTTTCTTTTCTTTAGCTTTATTGACATATAAGTAACAAATAGAGGATTTTGAATGTTCCCAACACAAAGAAATGATAAATGTTTGAGGTGATAGATAAGCTAATTACCCTGATTTGATCATTGCACATTGTACACATGTACCCCATATTTACAATTATTATGTGTCAATTAAGAAAAAATAAATTTCATAAAATGGAAAAAAGTAATTTTGTGCTCAAAAAATTGTATACATTTAAGGTGTACAATTTTATGCTTTTATATACATATGCATTGTAAAATGATTACCACAACCAAGCTAATTAATATATTCCACCGTTTCACAGTTACCTTCTGTGTGTGTATGGTGAGAACACTTACAATCTACTGTCTTAGCATATTTCAAGTATACAATACTTGTGTTGTTAATTATAATCACCATGTTGTACATTGGATTATATCTTAAAAAAAAAAAAAAAAAAAGATGTCCCAGTTTCCTTATGAGGGAGTGGATGTCCAGGGAGGTAAAGATCTTTATTTATTCAATCACATGACCAGGAAACAGTGATCCCAGATTTGAACCCAGCTTTGTGCAAGCTTTGCCCACAATGGTGGCATATCCATTCTCATGGAGTAAGTGCGGATGCCAATATTCCATGAATGCATGACTTCATTCGCTACTGAGGAAGGCAACAGGAGGGGGTGTTCTGTGTGTTTTGGGGTAAAAAATATAGGGTATGGAAGGATACTAGTGCATTAATTTATAAACTATTTATAGAGTCTCTACTGTGTGTAGAGGCAGCATAAGATACAGCTCATCTGGGAGCTGGACTTCCTGGGCTCAAATCTACGCTTTGCAATTTTCTTGGGCAAAGTTCCTTAACTTCTCTGTGCCCCAGTTTCCCAGAGTGAGAAGTGAAGATGATAACAACAGCACATCATGCAGTTGCAGTGAGTGTCCAGTTAAGATGAGCATTCTTATGCCCTCATTCCTTTTTTACCGAGGATGAGATGGAGAAGGCAAATCAATACTGTCTCTCTAGGTAAGCTCATTGAATACATGACTGTGTAATCTTTTTCTGAAAATGGCCAAATCGACATCCTCACACTGACGCTTGCATCCAAACCCAAGACCTGTAAAAACAACTGTCTCCACTAAAATCCAGGAAATTTTCACAGACCTTTTCCATGTTGGAAGCTTAGCTCTTCACTCTCCCTACCCCAACCCCCAAATTTTATCATCCTCAAATCTTTCCATCTCAGTAAATGACATCATCCCATTGCTCTGACCAAACTCATAGAAGTTACCTTTCATTACTCTCCATCCTTCTTCCCTCATACTCAATCCATCAGCAACACATATTGATTCAGTCACCAGAATTTATACTGAGAATGCCTATGTCTCTTCATTTAAGTGTCTACCATGATAGTCCCACTAGCATCCCTTACATTCAGGACAATTGAAGCGGCATCCCTATTTCTCTCCCTGGTTCTACACTTGCTATCAGATACTCCATCCTCCATAGAAAACCTGGTTCCCTAGCACAGTTATGGAACTAGAATAGATGCTCCGTTATTTATCAATTGATAAATAAGACCAGGAAGAGATTTTCAGAAGAGCTGAGGCAGATATGGGTCCTGGAGAGATGTTGAAGATCTTTGTTGGTTTAGGTACCAGCTGCAGAGAAATCCAAAATATGTGTCCCAGGAGACTGAGACAGAGTCTCAAGGCTAGAATGCAGGAGCTATATTATATGGTTCTCAGGAGAACCACAGTCACCCAGATATTTTCCACAATGCATTCTGTTCTATCACTCACTGTGTTCTAAGGCAAATGGGTTGGGGCTGGTAAGAAGAGTAGAAGAAGAGGGACCAGTCATGAGACTGCAATATCCTCTATGTGAAGGATGATCGTGACCTAGATGGGGAGGTTGCCATGGAGACAGTAGAATGTAGGACCACCAGTGGGGGTATAGAGTGGTTTTTCACTGCATCCCCAACTTCCAGAAGTGGGAGTGTAAATCTGGCAGACCGAAAGACTTGAATATGAATTTCTGGTCTACTGTTTACCAGACGTGTGCCTTTGGGAAAGTTGATTAATTTAAGAGTGTCAGTTTCCTCTTGACTTTGAGCAGGATACCTATTTTTTAGGTACTAAAGTTACTTCATACACAGTCCTGAGACATAGTTTTTTTCATTCTGGAATCTACTTACAGATGAAGAAGATTTGGTCTGGAGACAAGAATCAGCTTGCTGGCATTGCAGGGTTACTAAATGGCGGAAGTAGAGCTCAGACTTGTTTTTGACTCCAGCATCATGTTCTCATTAAGGGGATGTGGAATCAGATACTGCATGACCCAGGATTGGTGCAGTTTCAGGTCTATGTGGAGAAGGGTGGGAACAGTGTAGTACTTGGTGAAGATAGTGTAAGAAGCCAGCAGGAGGCAGAATCAGCAGTGAGGAAGGACTTGGGGAGAATCATGAGAAGAACGTGCAAAAGTGGAGGGAGCAGAGAGAGATGAGAACAGAGCCTCCCCTTAATTATTCAGCAAAGATTTTTGAGTTTCTGCTGTATGTGCCAGACACTGATCTAAGTCTTGAAGATGTAAATATGAACAAGTTAGGTGTTCAGCCACTTGATACATATTTATTCACCACCTACTATGAGCCAGGCATTCTGTTAGGTTCAGGGATAAAATTGTGAGCAAGACAGATTTATGCATGCACTAAATGTTGATGGAGCAATATTATGAGCTAAACATGAGACCGGGGGTTGGGGACATGTTTAGCAACACCTACTGAGCACTATGTCTCAACCTCAGTGCTGAGAACTTCTACGTATTATCTCATTTATTCTTTACAAAAACCCTTGTGAGAGACAAGTTATTGTGCCATTTAATGGAGAATAAACTTCTGGAGACTAGATGGAAAGGGGCCAATTCCATGGTGTTCACAATTTATGGGGGAAAATAGACTTTATTGAAAAAAGCTAAATTTAACCTAATTCTAGATAATGTCGATAGTGAAGGGGGTGGCTGGCTATTTTATTTCTGACCATCAAGATAGGGGATTCCGTATCCTGAGGCGATATCGAAATGGAGACCTGCAGGATGAGATGGGTCCAACAATGCCAACAGCTGGAGGCGACAGAACTGCACCCGTGCAGAGGCCCTGGGATGAGAAAGAAATGACAGGTATCATGGATAATAAGGAGGTCTTCAAAGCTGGGTTTAGTGAGCAAGAAGATAAGAAAGAGAAGGGGATGGAGAGGTACCAAGAACCAGTCCACATAGAACCTTGGAAAAGGGAAACTGTGATACAAACGCCCAGGGGAAGAGCATCTGAAGGGAAGGGAAGGGCAAGTGCAAAGGCCCTGAGGTGGGCCAAGCCAGGTCCAAGGCAAGTCAGTGGAGCAGAGGTCAGAGAAGTGGCCGGGGCTGAGCCAGCAGGTGAGGTCATTGATTTCATTCCACGTTCACTGGGGTGTTCAAGGAGGGCACTACGTATGACATGATCTGATTTGCCTTTTGGTAAGACCCCTCTGGGCTCTGCACCGCATGTGCTGCAGGGAACAGAGGCGAGGCAGGAGCAATTCTCCATTCGCTGGCTTCTCCTTCCCTCTCCCCCTCCCCCAGGTTTCCTTCGCCCACTTGCACAAGGTCCCCCTGCACACCTGGGTCCATGCCTGTGACCTGGGGCCCCCCGGGTGTCCCTGCAGCCCTGCCCTGGGCCAACCAGAGCTTGGCCCG